AATGATGTACAAATGCACTTTACACAATTGATGTGTGTATGGATTGCGATAACAGTTGTATGAGCCCCTAATAAAATGTTTTAAAAAATTAAATTAAATAAAAAAAAAATAAAAATAAGTCAACAAAATTGATCACAATCTTTTATTTAAGTAAAATTATACTATGTATAAAATAGCAATTGATATATAGAGTGATTTAGGACATCATAATATATACAATTATCTTTTAAAAGTCAGGATGTAAGTTACAATGATTGTGAAAATAAAATTTGCATTGAAACAGTCTCACAACAGATGTATTACTTAGCCAACTTGGTTCGAAGTCGTCGTTTGAGGATCTGGTGATCGCTTTCCTTTACTTTCTGGTCCATTAATATCTGAAATTTATCATTTCACAACTATTAAATTATAAGTGAAAAGTTAGACCTATTTATAATTTAAATGAAAATCTAAATATAAATTTTAATTTGCTTATAACAGTATGTTCATGTACTTAATAAGTGAAGCAATAGGTACATTGTGAAAATGTTTTTTCTGTTAAGACTCGTTATAGTCTTCCATAAAAATGCATGCTTAGAGAAATAATGTATTTTGTAAAAGAGTAACACTATTACTTGATTCCGTAAACAAAATATTCTACACTTTATAACTAATTCAGGGCATATATACGAGGGGGCTTCAAAATGCTTGTGGAAAGTGTTCATTTTTTAAATTCCAAGTCTCCATAAATCTTCTGAAATTATTGAAATACTTGGAGAAAGAGTGCCAAGTAATTTTTTTCCTAAATGACCTTTCATAGGAACAAGCTTAATAAAATTTAGGAGGCAGAAAATGCCTTGTATTGCAACCAAGACAGGAAGTAATATTCAGCCAAGGGAAGAAATTATGTACTAAACAGACAGATGGTGTAAAATGACCAACTGAATAGCTATACTGGAACATTTCCTAATTGACACTGATTCTTTACCACCCACCTTCAAGTGTCTAATAGCTATGATTACAAAAAGACTCCTCTGATTTTTCTTGGCCATCTCTTGTTGAGGTTTTTCCTTTCATTATTTTTCTAACTTTACTTTCAAACTCTAAGCAAACGCCAATATAAAATAATAGGAAATTAGAACTTTCCCTTAATAGCTAGCACTGCCTAATGTGAGTGAGAATGAGTCACAGAGTACAGGTGACAACATGTTTTCTTAACAGAACCTGGAATGATTAGTGGAAAGGTGGGAGGAAATTACTGTCAATTTTGTTATTTTTGACCATGTGCGTTTTAGAACTTCATTGCCATTGCGTCAATTCTGATTCACAGCCACCTATAGGGCAGAGTCGAACTGTCCCTGTGGTTTCCAGGACTAACTCTGTAGACTAACTCCAGAGGGCTGGTAGTTTGGAGCTACACCCACTACACCACCAGGGCTCCCTGCATTTGAAGATGGGTATGTGTAAGGTTTGTGTTAAAAAAAAAAAAATCACAAGAAAAACAGATGGTGCATGCAAATAAACACACAAACAGTGGTTAATCTTACGGATGGAATTAAAATTCCTCTGATTAACTTCCAAGTGCAAATGTTATATAACACGTATACACATTAATCCAGTATTTCTATTTAATGACTATAAAATTAGCACTTGAGACCAAAAATAGAGCATTTTAAAATATAGCTGAAGAGCAGAAATACTAACTACTGTTAAGTAAAATTATAACGAACACTTGAAATTTAAAAAGAACAAAAACAGTTGGATATTCATCAAAAATGAAACCCTAGCTTACCACATGGCCAGCGATGTCAATCGGAGATGAAATTTCATTTGTGTATAATTTCCGTTTGGCTCGCTTAGGTCGTGATACATTTTCTTTGCTTGCATCCATATTTATCGGCTTTGAAGTACTTATTGTTTCAATTAGCTTTTTTGCTATAAAAGGAGTTTAAGGATTAATTAATTTAATGAAATAAAAATATCCTAGCTGCAAAGGTTTGAAATTCTTAAAAAGGAAAGAACATGCACAAGGCAACAGAGAAAAGCACTGCAATATACATGGCCAAATAACATGTAGAAAACTCACCAAGAAAAAAGTGATGTTTAATGAACACATATAATCATGACCAAACAAACACAATACTAAGTCAAATACAAGTTAAGGCTTACCATATTGAAAAGGCTGGGTAAATTATAGGCTAACCAAGAAAACTCATTCATGACTTGAAAGAGGTCTCTGCAGTGTTACACCAAAGGATACATGCAGAGTAGCCCATGTGGCATTCAAAGTAAACTGGTCTACCAGGGAAGCAAATAAGCCCACCAGCCCGTGTGATCATGAGATGTCGATGGGATCAGGTTATCAAAAGATATAAAACAGAAAACAATATTGATGTGAATGAGGGGTGTTAGAGTAGAAGCCTAAAGCCCATCTGTAGATAACTGGACATCCCCCCACAGAAGAGCTACAAAGAAGGGACAATTCAACCAGGTGCAGTATAGCACCAACGAAACACACATCATTCCTCTAGTTCCTGAATGCTACCCATGCCCCCCACTACGATGACTGTTTTACCTTACAAATCTGGCTAGACTGGAGCACACACATTGGTACAGATAAGAGCTCTCCACACATGGAATTCAGGACAGATAAACCCTCAGGAACAGCAGTGGGAGCAGCAATGTCATGAAGGAAGGGGGATGGTGGTGGCAGTGGGGGGAAGGGGGAGAAATGGGAACCTATCACAAATGGGAACCTATCACAAGGCTGGATATATAGCCCCCCCCAAAGCGGGGAACAAATATCAGAAATATACAATTGATCAAGGATTCCCAAAGATGGGAGAAGGAGGGGAACAAAGAGGAGTTGATTGATACCAAGGGCTCAAGTAGAAAATGTTTTGGAAATGTTGATGGCAACATATTTACAAGTGTGCATAATACAGATGAATGATGGATTTTCATAAGATTTGTAAGAGCAAGCCCCCCAATAAAATGATAAAAAAATAATAAAGGGGTTCCAATTCATACATATATGGATCTATTCCAAACAAAATGTCTTTATAAATGTCCCTGTGACTTGTGGATAGCTGCAGTTAAGTCCTCTCAGTAATGCACTTGTCTTGAGTCTGGTTAAACCAAAAAAATTCATTGCCGAGTCAATTCTGACTCACAGCTACCCTAAAGGGCAGGGTAGAACGGCCCTGTGGGTTTCCAAGGCTTCAAATCTTTACAGGAGCAGAGACCCTCATTTTTCTACTGCAGAGCAGCTCGTGGGTTTGAACTTCTGACCTTGCAGTCAGCGGCCCAAGGTGTAAGTGTCTGCACTCTGGTTAAAGTGCCAAGTATAAAGGTCCAATCTAAACAGTGCCTTTCCAGCCAAAATGCTGGACCAGTTAAATTCAAGGTAAAGAGATTGGCTTGCAAGGTTCATGGCAACTGGTCCTTGAGAATCCAAACAGGTGATCTTGATACATTGTCTTGAAGGGCACAGAATAATCACAGAAGCTTAATCAGAAGAAGGTAAATTTTCCCCCTCTCCATCACAGCAAAGCATCTCTTCATTCTTCTAATGGAGCAAGGGCTCTCCTATGGGATACTCACCGAGAAACCTTACCCCTTTGGATTTACGTTTGTGATTAAAGTAAAAGAGCACGGAAAAGGAGCATCCTTGGAGGATGTCAAAGCTGCCAACATGACACGGTCTAAGTCAAAGAGCACAGAATTTTCCAGAGGAAGGGGCAGAGAAATGTAAAGTCACCTTCAGAACTATACAGACAGAGCTGGAGGAGGTGTCAAGAAACAATTGTTCGATGTTTGTTTATTTAATAAAGGTTGTCATGATTTTATAGCAATACTTTTTGACGTGCCCTCATATGCACACACATTAATATCTACAGTATAAAGTAAAAAAGCGCCAAGCATATCCATTTTTCAACACTGAAAAAAAAAAAGCACAAGGAGGCTAAGTAGCATATTAACAACAAATACCTCTGGTCATAATTATTTAGGGCAGAAGGATCTCCCTAGAATATCCTTCCTCCTATCTGTTATAATCAAGAAATCCTTTCAAGGTTCAGGTTAAATTTCATCTTCATAAAAAATCTTCCCAAAGCCCACTAACAAGAATTCCTTTTTACCCCACTACTTTGTTAGCACGTTTCTTATTCCTCCATTACCACAACGGGGCTTCTAAAAGTTGGATGAAAAATGGAATTAAAAGATGATGGATTTTTTCATGAACTCTGAAGGCCTCTCGTACTAAACAGCCTTCCCTGGATCATTTACATATGGGCCTCTCAGCTCCACCACATAGTGAAACTATCATCAGACTTTCCGGTATGCTCACTGTGTTCAACTGTTGTTTGATTTACACAATAATATTAGAAAGCATTTCATGCCATGCAAACCTTTTGACTGAAGAATGGTTGGGGACTGTTGTAAGAAGTTTCCAAATTTCTGTAGCGTTCCGTCTTTTCTCCTGGTGGCCGAGTTGATACTGGCTGTGGAGGCTTGGCTCCGCAAAGAGTACGTTTTCTTAGATGATGGACGCACAGAAACCTAAGACACATTTTTTTGTGATTTATGAATCATTTTGAAAAGGAAATTACTACAGCTGTGCTTAGATATAGCAAAAACAGTCAAAATATTCCAACTTTCTCAATGTTTTATCAATAATAATTCATAATTAAGAAGTAGAGTTTAAAACGCCAGTCAGGCTATAACTTCTCAGATACGAGCTTGGTCAGGATTTACCAGGAGACAGATGAAAGGACCCGAGAATGACAGAGTGAGTCAGAAATGAACAAACGAAAAGTGGCAGCTACTGGCCACCAAAGGTCAGAGATTACATTCCAAAGCAGATTTTACAAATGTAGAAAATACATGATAAATGAGCTTAGTTGGAAACGATCAATTTGAGGCAAAGAAAAAGATAAAAACCTTTTCTTCCTTTTTGACAGGAGAATTTTTATGTTCTGACATAGGGAACTTCAAGTTACTTCTGGGTGTAGTGCTCTTATTTTCACACATCAAATCCTTAAAAAAAAAAAAAAAAAAAATGAAAGAATTTCAGCTCCGGCTAATTTCTGCACTGTATTTTCTTTTTCTCCAGAGTCAAAAATAAAATCTGTGAAGGCTATAGTATTATTTACACCACTCAGTCTAAATCAGCAGTCGTTGATGCCAGGGAACAAATGTTTGAAGGCATTTTCAGTTATCAATACTTGGGATCAAGGGGCAGGAAAGAGGGTGCTCCCTGCATAGGGCAAAGATGCTGTTGATACCTATCCAACACACAAGATAGCCTTCCAACACAACAAATTGTCTGGTACCAAATGTCAAGTAAGTCTCAATATTAGGAAGCACTTACCACAGTTATAAATTTTCCTCACACATCATGTATAATAAAATTACTTGATTTATGTATGTGGAAATCAGGAGAGGATATATTTGATTTGAACCTCGTTGTTTTAAAAAGATAGCAATCAGATCTTTAAAATGCAATACAGCATTAGACCTATCCTTTCACCAAAGCCTAAACCATACAAAGTATTTATGTCTAAGACCTCTAATAAAAATGTGGTAAAATCAAAACCAAAATGGAGAAATATAAAACAAAAACTGCATCATATGCACAGGAAAATTAAGAAATAGCACAATCTTCTTCCCCAGCTACTTGAGCTGGCATTCTGGTCTTTTTCCTTAGAGTACAGCACAGCCAGCTATGGTTTTTATAACTATAATTACTGAATTGACCTGGTACAAATTCCAGTTGCACCAAATGTTCTACTACAAGCATAAGAGGGGGAGAAACGGCAAGAAGAGAAACAGCAAAGCTCATCATTGAAATCTCAGAATCCAAACTAGACAGTAAAAATCATTGAAACTGGAAGAATCATATTCTAAGAAAAAGAAAGGGGTTGGAGGGGAGTCAAAAAGGACAGGTCACCATAGGATGCAAAAAGATAAAAGGCATAAGGAAAAGAAGCCCACGGATGGGAAATATCCCATGAAGCATTCTTTGTGGAGTCCTCGTTGTTTGGGATATAGCACTATATACAAGATTTTCAATTTATCACAAAAGAATACTCCAAGCAAGCTTTTAAGGTTCCTGCCATGGGATGGTGGCTAGACCAAACTCTATTTTGAGTCAAAAGCAACTTCTGCATGGAGAATGCAGCCTGCCAAAAAAATAAATAAATAAATAAATAAATAAATAAAAAGAATGCAGCCTGTCATTTCTGTCTGTCACTTTCCACTGTTCAATGAGTCAATTACTTGGTAAACCATTTTAAAGAAATGTGATTCTGCTTGAGAACCGACCCTGTTCAGGAAGCGGGGTCCAAGATCATTCTCCTCCTTGGACCACTTAGTTCAGAGTCCCCTGGGTTTTGCGTTTCATAATCTGCAAAATTGTGTTATCTCTTAACAAAAGCCCTTTACTTTTAAGGTCTGCCAGACTTTTGCTGTCCAACAACATACTATAGTGAAGACTTAGCAAATACTGTCAACACTGTAGTTTTCCTATGTCTTATCTACAATAGTTCGCAAATCTTTTCTGAAATACACTTGGGTGTCGATGCCAAAAGTAAAATGAAAAACAAAAAGAAAGCCATCGTCTTATTTCACCCCTTGAGTACTACACACACTTTCATTCTTCCGGAAAAAAAAAAAAAAAAAAAAAAGAACCAAGGAAAGTCAACTTTACAATATTGAATAAATTAACAAGCAGGCTTCAAAAAGTCTGTGGGAAAATCCCATTATCTTTTCATTCCATTCTTCTAAAGTTTTGAAGCCCCTTTACATTGTTTTAAATCAATATTGAAAATATAGACTGAAGGTATGTTTTGAAAATGATGATGGCAATATATGTACAAATGTGCTTGACACAATGGATATAAGTATGGATCGTGATAAGAGCTGTAAGAGCCTCCAATAAAATGATTTATAAAATATATATGTAGACTGAAAGTTAACTAAAGCTCTATAAAGTAATTTCTAAAGATATTCTATGTATAGTTGGACAGTACCACTAATTCATTTAATAAATTTATTACCTGACAGAGAGTCTCAGGAGTATGGTTAATACTATTTCTGCTCTTCCACCAGCTTGAAAAGATATTACTCTTTGATGGAGTTAAAAAAAAAAAAAGAAGTTGGATAAAAATTATTTTGCCAAAGACATAATTACTATTAGTTTTAAATTTAAAACATGTTGCTTTAGAAAAAACTTATCAACCTTTATTATGTCACTACCAAGATGCAAAGATAGACAGGCGATTTATACACGTTAGCTCTAATCCCTTATTTTTAAAAGAAGGTAATGGAGAATCAGAAAGCTTATGTGACTTGCCAGTTAGCATAGTTTGGATGTGGCAGAATGTTTGGCAGACCTATCAGAAACCTGCAGCAAGGAGAGGTAGGTAAACAGCTTTTAGCTTTACCACCACATACTCAATGCCATCAAGTCAATTCTGACTCACGGCGATCCTACAGGATAGGGCAGAACTGCCCCAGGGGGTTTCAAAGACCACAACTCTTTCCCCACAGAGGGGCTGGTGGTTTTAAACTGCTAACCTCGAGCCCAGCACATAACAGTACACCACCAGGCTCCTTCTAGCACTACAGAGATTCAAATTTTAGTATAGCTGATGGGAATTTCTCTGTTAAAACTTCCTAAAACCAGAGATGATTTTTGGGGAGGTTAAATGACAAAAATTTTATTTTACTTGAAGAGTCATTTCAGTTTCTCTAATTCTCTAAGAATCCTTTTTACCTTTGGTGGGAAGAAAGAGCTTGTTTGATACCTTAACTCCTATTTCTGAAAGTAGTCCTTGGAATTTTCCAGAAATCAGAAGGCCTTTGTTTAATAAAATTGCCAGGTAACAATAAAATATGTACAATAAGTAGGGGATCCAAAGCCTTCCTCCCGGCAACAGGCCTCAGGATGCAATCAATCATTCATAATGTTAACCATGCACAACCATGGATCGGGTCCCAGGGACTGTGGAACTCTGAAGCTTCCTTTTCTGGGCTTCCTGAATGGGTGAGAATAGCCAAGCCTGCCAGAAGGTGTGACAGACATATCTCTGGAGACGATGGCGGACCCATGCCATGACTTTCCAGCCTTTCCCTGATGCTTCCTGGCTCTAATGTAATATCTGTGAATTACTGAGCCCACAGTGGGTAAAAGGACTCTGGCTTAGATCAGAGCGGCCAATTCAGAGCTAAGATGAAGGTAGTTGATTTGTGAAGATGCAGCTCTGGGTAACAGAGAAAGGCAATGAATGAAGAGAGATAGTACTTTCAGTTTATGACCTAACACGGTATCAAAAGAGAGATACAGAGAAGGGCCAATGGTCTAAGGTGCGCTGGGTCATAGAGACTCCTGAGAATATGGCTGGAACCCAGAGACCCGACTCCGTGTGGTCAAGGATAAAGTCTGGCTTACCCCGGGGAAAAGGGTGAGACAGAGAAACAGTGGCTAGCACAGGGAATGGAGTGCGACTGTGATATACTGTTATTTGACCTATCACATCGTCACTGGAAGTGTGACTAGCATCAGCTTTGCTTGAGAACTATTAAATTAGAACTAGCATAAATTAGGGTTTTTGTGTTGCAACAATACTTACAAATAAGAGGGCAGCACAGTAGCGCTTAACTACTGTTCACGATCACTCAGAGTCATATTAAGATTTATTTTATTTACCTCTTCTATGTCATTACTCTTCCTCTTCCTCGACTTAGAAATCTTAACCGTCACGGGGGAGGCACAACCAGGGTGCTTCACTGCCACTCTGTTTGGCCGCAGAGGTGTGAACTGAATCTCTAACTCAGGTTGTGGGAACCGGGTACTTGGGACATTTTCTGCTGACACTTCACAAGAGTCAAGGACTGCAGAGCTGTCCTAGAACAGAATTATAGAAAACAACAACAACAAAGCAGAATTAGAAAACGAAAAATCTTGTTTGTGGAACATGAATTTATGTATCACAAAGAATTAATTATGGTCCACTGGAGACCACAAGTTGGGAAAGGCGTAACATGAAAGATAAATTGTGCTATGGCAAATTTGCCACAAGAACAGAATGAGACCGTATGTACCTTCTCCAGATTTATACAAGGTATGTTTAGAAAATCTACAGATTACCATCTCTCAAACATGTATGATTTCAAAAATTACCTGGAAATTTTGCTTTAAAAGCTACCAAACCCTATTGTCTTGGTGGCACACTGGTTTACTCATTGCACAACCAAAAGGCCAGTAGAGTTCAAAGTCACCAGCCGTTCCATGGGAGAAAGATAAGGCAGTTGGCTTCTGTTACGACTTAGAGCCTTAGAAGTCATTTAGAGCCGTTTTACTCTGCTCTTTAGGGTTGAGTCAGAATCAACTCCAAAAACAGAGCAGTGAGTATAAACACTACTTCAATGCTGCTAAATTGTTCATCTACAAGGGAAAATTCTAGAATTAAGAAAACATTCTACTTTAGAGATCAAAGTTGAAAGCAAATTCATTGCTACTCTTCCCACAGAGATATCGAATTCAACTCCCTTCTCCCCAAATCTGAAATTGCCTAGTGATTTCCAAGATCAGTAAGTTATGGTGGAAGTAACATGGTTCTTCTGAAACAAAGTCCAGAGAAGCTTTGTAACTCTTCAAAAGCCCATTCCTAGAACACTCACTAGCTCTCACAATATCCCCCTTTTTCAAAACCTAGTCTTATATTGTGAGAAGACAACACATACAGCAATCTGAACTCCTGAAGTTAACTGCCAGGTATGTAAGTGAATCATTCTGGACTTCTAGCCCAGTCAAGTGATTACATGCTGGCAATAGAAACACATAAAACAGCAGAACCAAACTATCCACTAAAGGTATGGTATATATTAAGTAACTACACTGAAATATTAGGGAATTAGAACCCGGGCTCTTACTTAAAGCAGCATACCTAAATTTCTGAAGGAAAGTAATGTCTAGTAGATATGACTGCCTGTGATACCAATAATTAAACCTTTATTTATGAATTAACTCCGTTTTTCTACATCACAGATGCAATCTACTTACCTTTGTTGCAAATTTATCTATGAATGTGGTGGAATATATAGAGGGAAAAGTTAAGAAAATATCTTGGATCTAACCAAACACCTTTGAGGAAATTAGTTACTAGGCCTAGGGCAGGGGTCCTCAAACTACGGCCCACGGGCCACATGCAGCCCGCCGAGGACATTT